TTCATACCAATATATGTTTTCCTCTCTAGTGTCCCCTTTCCGCTTAGTCTCCCCTCATGTCTCGATTCAGGAACACCAATCGAGTCAAGGTCGGGAATAAAGTCAACACAGAACTCAATGACCTCTTCTGTTCCATAGCCCTTGGCGATGCTTCCTTCTGGACGAGCACGGTTGTGAACATATTTCTTTAGGACTCCCATGAATCTCTCTAAGGGGAACATGTTGTGTAGGAACACAGGACCGAGAATGAAAATCTCCTTGACTAGGAGAACTAGGAGGCGTGTCATGATATCAAAGAAGGAAGGAGGGAACACCAACTCAAAGCTGACGAGACATTGAACCACATCATTCTGTAGTTTAGCTAGATCAGTTAGATCAATTGCCTTCTGAGAAATTGCATTGAGGAATGCACATAGCTTCACGGTGGCTAGACGTACATTTGGAGGTAGAATTCCTCTTAATGCAACTGGAAGTAATTGCGTCATGAGAACATGACAATCATAGGACTTTAAGTTATAGAATTTCTTCTCTGGCACATTTATAATACCCTTTATATTCGAGGAGAATCCAGATGATACCTTGATGTTGTTTAAGCATTCAAACATGATTTCCTTCTCCTCTTTGCTTAGAGTGTAGCTGGCAGGACGTAAGTAATGGCGTCCATCATCTGTCTTCTCTGGATGCAAAGTTGTCTCTTTTCTCTCAAACAACGCAGTCCCGTCGTGCTTCAAATGTGTCCTTAGGCTTTCCATACACACCCATGAAGCCTAGCAGGTTCACACAAAGATTCTTCGACAGTGCATCACGTCGATCGAGTCATGGACCTCTAGGACTTGCCAATAGGGTAGCTCCCAAAATATGGACTTCTTCTTCCACATGGGTGCGTGACCGTTAGCGTCATTCGAACAAAGTTGGCTGCCATGTCCTTCTCCAAAGACAATTTTCACATCATTGACCATATCGAGTACATCCTCACCGGTTCGATTCATGAGGCTTGGTCGTGGTCCGCCTTCCCTTTAAAATGCTTGCCTTTCTTTCTTACGGGTGATTTGCAAGAAGAAATCAACGATGGCCAAGGTACATGACCTTTCGACATTTTTTCAAGAATACACCTCTAATATCACCGAAGCGGATGTGCATGCATTATATCCCTTGTTTGACTGTCTCCGAAAGATTACTTAGAGCGGGCCAATCATTGATTATTACGAACAACAATGCTCGCAGATCAAAGTGTTCTGTTTGTACTCATCCCATACACGTACACCTTCTTTATTCCACAAAATGAGAAGTTCATCAATAAGTGGTCTCGGTACACATCGATGTCATTGCCGGGTTGCTTCGGGCCTTGGATGAGCACGGGCATCATAATGAACTTCCGCTTTATGCATAACCAAGGAGGAAGGTTGTAGATACTTAGAGTAATGTGCCAAGTGCTATGACTACTGCTCGCTTCTTCAAAAGGATTGATACCATCTGTACTTAAAGCAAACCTTAAGTTTCTTGCGTCATTTGCAAACTCCAGAATTCTCTCGTCGATTGCTCTCCACCGGGACCCATCGGCCAGGTGTCTCAACATATTGTCTACCTTACGGTCTTCTTTGTGCCATTGCAACAATTTTGCATGTTCTTTGTTTCTGAACAGACGTTTCAAGCGTGGTATTATAGGAGCATACCACATAACCTTGGCAGGGATTTCCTTCCACGTACGTTCGCCCTCAACATCACCAGGGTCATCTTGCCTGATCTTATACCGCGATGCATGGCATACCGGGTATGCATCCAATTTCTCGTACTCTTTGCCACGGTAGAGGATGCAGTCATTAGGACATGCATGTATCTTCTCGATTTCTAGCCCCATAGGACAGATAACTTGTTTTGCTTCATAGGTAGTGGCAGGCAATTCATTGTCCTTCGGAAGCATCTTCTTTTGGATTTTAGTAACTCTCCAAATCCCTTGTCGATACACCATTCTTTGCCTTCCATTGCAGCAATTCTAGTGTGGTTCCCAACTTTTTCTGTTCTGCATCACAAGTTGGGTACAACAATTTCTTGTGATCTTCTAGCATCTGCTCGAACTTGATCTTCTCCTTTTCACTTTCACATTCTCTTTGTACGTCACGAATGACCTGACAAAGATCATCAGAACTCATCTTCTGCGGCTACCTCTTCTTCACTTTTCCCCATTGCAAGTATCATTGAAGCACGCACCATCGGGAATAATATCATTGTCGTCCCATTGTTCTTCTTCACATTCTTCCATTACAACGCCGGTTTCTCCGTGCTTCGTCCAACAAATATAGTTTGGCATGAAAGCCGACTTGAACAAGTGTGAATGAAAAGTCCTTGAGCAAGGATATTCCACCATATTCTTATATACGGCACATGGACAGCACATGAAACCATCGTGTTTGTTTGCCTCGGCCGCACGTAACAAAGAATGCACGTCGTCCATGAACTCTTGGGAGCGACGATCAGCATTGTACATCCAATGTCGACTCATCTGTATTACATGACATAAATACCGTATTAAAACCTAGAAAATAATTAGTTAATTATACAACATGCATACCACCACAAAAGCTATAAATTTAAGAAATCCTCGCTACAATGTAGACAATCCCAACTACCACTAAAAACACTAAAGCTAAAATGCACTTTAGCAGCATAAGGATTTCGCGACCAATCCTAACTAAAACAGACAGATCCCCCGTTTGTTCAACATCTTTAGGCTTCTTCGGCTGGATCACTGCCTCATTAGCCGCCATATCTGCCTGTTGTGCAATATATTTTTGCACGAGTTCAACATACTCTTCCTCCCAGTAGAAGCCTGAACATCCAGTGCCATCCCACTGAAATTAAAACAGAAAATTAGAACTTTAATCACAACTATCATGAAAATAGGTATAAACTAACCATAGTTATTAAATACGATAAAATAACTCACATCGCGATCTGGACACTTGTAGAAAATGAGACCCTTGTTGGGACCCTCCCTCTTCACTCGGTACTCCATCACAATCTTCGTCTCATCACAACACTTGTCGCATGCAATGAGTGGGAGGCCCGGCCTAAGTCGCTTTGGAAACCCATGAGAGGCCGAGGATCCGGAAGCAGTTGCCATCTACTCTCTATACTCATTTTTAATACACTATAAATTTCTCATTTTATAAACAAATAAATTTAAAAAAACTCTAAAATTCTCTATATCTCTAAACAATGAAGTATGCTATGCATGCTACAAATAAACGGTGAATACTAGTTTTTAATAGCTACTTTAACCTTCCTTCATGTAAATATGCAAGCTTGAAGTTTAAAGGTTTCCAGAGCGTTTAACACTACTCTGCTTGTCGTGACCATGGTCATTGTGTTCTCGTCTTTTACTGCGGCAGGTAAGTAATTCACATGATATTTCCGCAAATTAATAGAAGAATGGGAGTGTACACACATAACAATCGATTATCGTTTATATTTATATATATACTACGTTTGGGTACGGTGATTGACAGACTACTGCGACAATATCGGGACGTGTGAATAAATAACCATCCGTACTAGTTGACCTTGCTTACGTGATCATCTCGGCGAGCATTTCTCCACCGGACGGCACCGTATTTGGCCACGGAAGAGCTCCGATTCTACGAGGAAGGGAACACGGTCTTCCACGACCGTTGCCGCTCTCCCTCGTAGAATCAAAGCTCCTCCTTGACGTCCGTTACCGCTCGGCAGAGAACATGCTCGCCGAGATGAATACGGTCCGCAAGTTCAACTAGCTACTTTAACCTTCTTTCATGTAAATACGCAAGCTTGAAGTGATTTTGAGATCAAATTGCTTACAAATGAAAAAAACCACAATAAAGAACCATATATATATAGTGAACAAAATGAGATAAGACAATGGTGAAAAATAAGAGTATGAGATTGGTAACCTTTACAACTGAAGAATCGACGGAGGAATCGAAGAATGGATGGAGGAACAATGGAGGGAGGAAGCAAGAACACTAGTGCAGTGAGCTTCAAAATGTGCTGAGCTCGGACTCGGGGAGGAAGAAGTAGACTGCCAGGATATAAAGGGGGGACCTTTAGTCCCGGTTGGTGGCTCCAATCGGGATTAAAGGTAACTTTCCAACCTCCGGCGCAGCCACGGCCCGGGAGTAGACCTTTACTCCCGGTTGGAGCCACCAACCAGGAGTAAAAGTCTACCTTTAGTCCCGGTTGGTGGCTCCAACCGGGACTAAAGGTCCCTGCCACCTCTGTCTGGTGTAGTAGCCAGCCACCAACCGGGACTAAAGGTATCTCTAGTCCCGGGCACAAAAAATTTCGGGACTAGAGTCCATTTTAGCCGAGGATCAGAGATCTGTTCTCTACTGGTGCTTGAATTCGAGCCAGAGGAGGAACTTTCCTTTCTCTGGATGATCGAGCTGATGATAACCGTGTGAACATGACGCGCCATATGGCAATGATCTTCCGTAGAAGGGAGACCTGCCCTCAGTTAACGTTTACGGGTAGTCGGTAGGAGTATCTGACAACAACCATCAGAATTGTCTTGCTTTTACATTTGTTATTAGGCTAGCCGTTTCAGAATGAACCTCCTCATCTAGTCTTGAGGGAGATAGAAATGCTCACGACGTGACTAATGTAGAATCGTTCATCGGATATTTATGAGCGCTGGCCATCTCTTTAGACTGAAGACCAACCTCGTCAGACCGATCATCGAGTACACCGGCCGTGGTCTTTGGCCAGCCGGTTAACCGTCGCCGGATGGAGTAGCTAGCTACACAGCTGACCATGAATTTTCAACGCAGCCAGCTGGACTACGTAGCGTGCTAGATCAAGCTGCTGACACGGCCACTCTAATCACATGAAAGGAGAACAGTTTTAATTTGCACGTGTGACGGAACCGCCACTCGCAGTCGTAGGCTATATATACGTAAGATCAAGCTCCATGCAATGCAGTGCAACCAAACCTTGCAACGTTTGCATCAAGCAGCTAATAACCAAACATGGCCATGGCCAAGAGCTTAGCGCCGCCGGTGGTGCTCATATTTGCCTTGTTCTGCAGCTACGCCGCCTCCATCGCGTCCTCCGCCCAAGCTGCCGCTGCTTCGTCGTCCGATGATGGCTTCCTCCAATGCCTCTCGGCGAGCATCCCGAGCCAGCTGGTGTTCACACAGAGCTCGCCTTCGTTCACGCCGCTGCTCAAGTCCTCCATCCGGAACCCAAAGTTCTTCACGGCCAGCACCGTGAGGCCGCTCTACATCGTGACGCCGACGAACGCCTCCCACGTGCAGGCCGCCGTGGTGTGCGGCCGCCGGAGCGGGGTGCGCGTCCGCGTGCGCAGCGGCGGGCACGACTACGAGGGCCTGTCGTACCGGTCCGAGCGCCCCGGCGAGGCGTTCGCGGTGCTCGACCTGTCGAACCTCCGCGCCGTGCGCGTCGACGCGCGGGCCGCCACCGCGTGGGTCGACTCGGGAGCCACGCTCGGGGAGCTCTACTACGCCGTCGGCAAGGCCAGCAACCTGCTGGGGTTCCCGGCCGGCCTGTGCCCGACCGTCGGCGTGGGCGGACATTTCAGCGGCGGCGGCTTCGGCATGCTGCTGCGCAAGTACGGCCTCGCCATCGACAGCGTCGTCGACGCGGTGCTGGTGGACGCCAAGGGGAGGCTCCTCAACAGGAATACCATGGGGAGCGACGTCTTCTGGGCCATCCGAGGCGGCGGCGGCGAGAGCTTCGGCGTCGTGCTGTCGTGGCAGGTGAAGCTCGTGCCAGTCCCGGCGACCGTCACGGTGTTCAACGTCCCGGTGTCCGCCAGCCAGGGCGCCGTGGACGTGGTCACCAAGTGGCAGCAGGTCGCGCCAGCGCTGCCGGACGACCTCTTCATCAGGGTGGTCGTCCAGCAGCAGACGGCCAGCTTCCAGTCCCTGTTCCTCGGCACGTGCGACGCGCTCCTGCCGGTGATGAGCAGCCGCTTCCCGGAGCTGCGGTTCAACCGCACCTCCTGCAAGGAGATGACGTGGATCCAGTCCGTGCCCTACATCTACCTCGGCAGCGGCTCCACGGTGGAGGACCTCCTGAACCGGACCACCGCCGCGTCCGTCTTCAGCAGCGGCTACAAGGCGACGTCCGACTACGTCCGGCAGGCCATCCCGCGGGACGTGTGGGCCAACATCTTCAGCAAGCTCGCGCAGCCCAACGCGGGGCTGATGATCCTGGACCCCTACGGCGCGCAGATCGGCGCCGTGCCGGAGTCGGCGACGCCGTTCCCGCACCGCGCCGGCGTGCTGTACAACATCCAGTACATGAACTTCTGGCCCATGGCTGGGGGAGACGGGGCCGTGCAGACCAAGTGGGTCAGGGACTTCTACGCGTTCATGGCGCCGTACGTGAGCTCCAACCCGAGGGAGGCCTACTTCAACTACAGGGACCTGGACCTTGGCGAGAACGTCGTCGTCGGCAACGTCAGCAGCTACCAGGCCGGTATGGTGTGGGGACACAAGTACTTCAAGGACAACTACCAGAGGCTCGCCATGGCCAAGAGTCAGATAGACCCCGACGACTACTTCAGGAACGAGCAGAGCATCCCGCCACTTGCCAACAACAAGTAGTATTCGTCAGCAACATGCATGGACAGATTTTAGTTTGTATCTTTTGCGTACATGGTAGCCCACACACTTTGTATCTTGAATAAATTTCATGAAACTACACAACATGTGAGAGTTTTTTAGGACACAACGTGTGAGACTCCAATCACAGAGCATACCGTTTGGGTTCGTTCTAGCCGCAGGTTTTCCACCATTTGCCAAAAAAATTACCACACTTGCTTAAAGTTACGTTCTCAGTGTTTTTGCTAGTAAGCCTATTATTATCGTTCATTATGTTTCTTCTTATCTTAATGTATAGTGATACGTAAGTCTTTTGCATATTCGAAAAAAAAGAAGCTAAATGTGTCGAAGGACGATTCTGTACCAAAATCAAGAAAACTAAATACTTCTCGTAATTTGCCAGAAAATTCAACGCTTTCTTTCCGTGATTTGTCAGAAAACTAAACCTTTTGGCTTAACGAGGATAAATGAATATTGCCACAGTACTACAAATGTGTCAAGGACCATACTGTACCGGCTGTGATCATCAGGAAAGCCATGGCGGGAAGGTTGCTGCCATTCAATGATTCTGAGACGGCCCAAGAAGCCACTCGTCGCCCCAGGCCAAGCGGACAGGCGAAGCCCACTTTTACTTGTAAGGCCAGTCCCAACAACAGATCTATTTATAAGAGGAAAGCGTTAATTATACCTCCCTAAACTAACGTCATAGACTCATAGTCTAATTTTCTCCTTAAACTTCAAAACCAAGCATCTTACTCTCTGAACTCTTCAAATTAGCTCCCTGCTTTTGTTTAGAGTGGTTTTGAAGGTGGGTTTTATCTTTAATTAAGTAAATACTTGATAGGGTTTTAAACCACAAAAATTATCTACGCTTTTAAAAATTCAAAAAAAAAAAATTGGACATAGATTGCGATACGCCAAATCTAAATAAAATATTTAGAGCTCATGAAAATGTCTCTAAATGCTTGAGAAATAGATTTAGTACTAGGGAAATGGAAAAGTGTAGAAAATTATAAAAAAATCCCCAAAACATTCTAATCGGTGTACAAACATATTTTTCAAATTTAGCACTGCAAAAAAAAAAGAGATGCAACTAGCATGAATGCACCATACATTCATGTTATGCATTGGTGCTGGTTGTGTATTATGTTTCTTGTTGCAATAAGTTTCTAAAGCACATTCATACATCAATTATAATGTTTTGAGAATTTCTAGATTTTTAGATATTTTTTCCATTTTTCTAGAGCTAAATCTACTTTTTACAAGCAACTAGAAATATTTTCAAGAGCTCTAAATATTTTATTTGGATTTTGCATATCCTATCTATCTTCAAATAATTTTAGAATTTTGAAAGTTTGGAGATATTTTTTGTGGTTTAAAAATCTTATCAAGTATTTATCGATTTTTTAACTAAAAAAATATAAAACCACATTAAAAAACACTTCAAACCAGGATAGGGCAATAATTTGAATGATTTTGAAAGTTCATGAGGCAAAATGTTTAGTTTTGGAGTTTGAGGATGAAAGTCAGGCTAGGATGATAGTTCAGAAAGGTAGAAATGAGCTTTTTCTTCGTTAGACTGTCACGTCAGTAATTTGATAATGTGGCAATGTAATTAATGACGAAAAGAGGAGGAAACTAGATCTCCCCTAACAAACAATGTCTCACTTGGAGTCTAGGCTAGGTTTCCATCCTAGGCCACACACATGTTCGCCAAACGCTTTACGTTCTAGCCCGTAGGTGCATATGACAATAGTGGCACTACGCCCAACCGCACAGACTTTGTCGTGTCGTTGGACGGGAAAAAAAATCCCTGCGCCGCGTCTGTAGACTGCATCTGCTGCATACGGTGGCATCAGCATGAGGCTGTTGGACGGACGAATCAGATGAGACTAGGCTGAGCCCTCGGGAGTTACGACTGGTGAAGCCGAGCGTGGTACAGGAGGCGGCGGCTTCCTGGTCCTCATGTGCGTTTGCTGTCTGATGCGTGGGGAGTCTGACGTGCCGCTGCCGCACGCTAAGCCACCGTATGCAGGAGATTTGGTCGCTGCAGGAAAAAAATTTCCCGTTGGACTGGACCTCGACCCGCGCAGCCGCGTCCTGACCACTATGCCCAGCTCGTGGCCAACCGCCCTGCCTCGCCGAGTCGCCGTGCCGGAGGAGGTCACGTGCCAGCCACGCACCACCCCGCCTCGCCGCGCCGCTGCATGCCCAAGCATAGGCCACGCGCGTTGGTCGCACCGCGAAGCCATCCGCGCCCGAGCCGTTTGCCGCCTGTTGCATCTGATTTGTTGCCCGCCAACCGCAAGCACACCATCTCGACCAGTACATCTTAGGTGTAGAGAGGATTAGGAGAGGGAGAAGCACACGGGAGCAGAGGACGAGTAATGGTGAATGATTGGGTTATGGTATGGACGTACTCCTAAAGCATTATATTGGGCTATGTGTGTATGGTATAGAAACTACTGGTTATTTTGTGTGTTGAGACTGACCTAATAGGTGGCGCGCTATTTAGATTTAATATCCACTATTTGGATTGGTTACACCCCTGATGTAATTGTGCATCTTGTAAACGAGTGTAACCCGGCTCCAATTTAATGAAAGCAACGTCATTTTTCAAAAAAAAAAACATCAACATTTCTAAGTCTCCTTTTTTTTTGCAAAGAGAAGGGGACTTATATTAAATCTTGGCATAGTATATCTTTAAATTACACATGGAAAAATCAAGAATAAAAAATACATAATATTATATCTAGATTCTTCTATCGTCTTCCTCCCCAATGGCTTCCCTTGAGTGCCGGAGCCAAAGTGCACCTTATGCCGAATCCAATGATCAACCCCAAAACATTGAACATGCCGCAAAATCCAATGCTTCGGAACCAGTCTAAAACACATCTAAATCCTAAAATAATATCGGCAGTTGCATCGTCGGGTACGACATCACCTTGAGACATTGAAATCCTCTCCGCGACCATCGACGATTAGATCGATGACCCAGAGTTACAGTCCTCGTAGGGAGCTCCCAGAAACGCCTCTTCCCTTGCAGATACATGCCACAAATTGGCCGCCTGCCGATGAAATCGACGCCTGCAACAATGATCTCATCATGGCAATCATCGAAGTCATATCGCAGGAAACACTAGTTTGACCGAAAATCATCTGATTTCCCCAGAAAATTAAAGTGACTATTTTCAATCCAACCTTTTTTGCGCATTATAATATAGATAATATAGCATTTATCACTTTAAAATAATGGAGTTTGCTTACGCAAAAGATAATAATAATCTTGTAGGGCTTTTGTGGAGGCTTTCTTGATTACTAGTGGAAATGCACATGCGTGCGTGGCGACACAAAAAAGATAGTATATACCACAAATATTTTGTTACAAAATTATGCGGAAACTCAATGGAAATAAGTGCATAAAAAATAATTGATAGAAAAGCACGGCATAAGTACGCCATGCAGCTCCTTATTGCCATAAGTACGCAATGCAGTTCCTTCTTGCTGATGTCGAGTGGTTGTCCTTTTAGCAAAAAGGAAAATTACAAGATGACAACTTCAGCCAAGGTGACATATTGCCATAATTATACAGTAAATGGATTTATTCAAACAACGATAATGGTCTGCATTTAAACAGAAAATCGATCAGTATACAGGCAATAGAACAGTGTACTGTAATATCAAGCTTGTCGTGTTGTGTTCTCTAAAAAAAACAACTCCAAATTCACTTCTATCATTTTCATCTACATCATCCAATATTCTGTGTACAGATTCATGTGCATTTGGTCGTTGAAGGGAACCGAGCTTCTGAGCTAACTGAGCTAGCTTTTTCGAAACTGAGTCTTGTGAAGTGTAGCCCAAGGCTCTCCAACTCATTCCTTCTGAGATATAAACCATGTAAGGTTACAAATCCATTAGAAAGAACTTAAACTAACAGCATCCACAGGATACAGAAAATCATGCAGAAAAATGACGTAACACCGCACAAAGGGTCTGTATACACATTTTTTGATGCAGCCGGTCTATTTGCCCGGGAGATTATAGCCATCCACCATCTAGACCTCGATAATTTACGCTAGCGGTGTGTGAGTGAGCTTTTCATTTTAAAATTCCAATGCTTTAAGAGCTCTCAAACTGCAATGCATAGAATTGAACCCCATTTAAGAGCACAAAAGCAAAAGAATTACCAAGTTTTTGAGCCTTGAAAAGAGAGAAAGGCATGGCATATTTCTTTGTTACCTTTTGGAAAGGGCTCTTTCGACAGCAACATAGTTCGTGTCATCCCTGCGAAATACTCAACAACTCCACACCGGCCCCAATAAATTGTTTATATGCCTAGAGCATCACAAGTTGCAATTTTGACCAATCAAACTAAAATCAGAATCACAAGCAAGCACACAAACACCCATGAGGAGTGAAAGTGGCCAAAACATCACATAGCTCTAACAAGGGAGTTCGAGGGGAAACCTTACCATACTCCCTATCTGGCATGATTTTCCGACTCAAAAGCACATAAACTGAACAAATCGATGGTGAGTACACAAAAGATTCTAAAGAGTATAGCTCCTAAATAGTACAGATTCCATGGATATTAAAATAAATTTGAGATGAGATGTAAAAAGACACAAGATAAAGTAGATGCATATAATGTGCTCAGTTGTAGTGTTGTTCTTGCTAAAAAATCATGTCACTGCACTATAAACCATAAAGAATTCTATAAACAACAACTCAATTTTCTGTTTCAAAAAAAAACAACTCCTCCATTTGGATAGAGAATACTTGCAATGCACGTATGCTTGTATACTAACACAAGGAGTATGTGTGCACACACATATACAAAGAGAGTGTCAGTGTTTTGTAAACCGGACTAGTAAATTTATACGATTGTCGCGCTGCTCTAGGAAGACGATGATAGCATCCAATAGGCACGAGGATTTATACTGGTTTATACCGGAGCCCTACGTCTAGTCTCAGCAATGATCGAGTGCGTGTTCCTCGCTTTA